TCCTAGTTGTTCCTCCTGGTTTACCTGCACGCAAGTGAGGGAACCTCGGTCCACCAGCTGCCACTCTACCTTGCATTCTCTCCACCCCGGCTGCCCATCTCCACCCCTCCTACCAGTCTGTATCAATGTTTCTCCTTTAACTCCTTGGTTGTCAGCCTTCCATACTATTTGACTTTATGGCAGTTCTGGTTTTTAATTTGTCGTTGTCCTTCTTTTGGTTGTGGGAGGAGACAAAGTACATCTACCCACACCTCCATCATGACCATAAATCCACTTTTTATTGATTTTAGATTGATCAAGGGGAATGGAGGGGAGAGATAGAGACAGACACAATTTTGTTGTTCCACTCATGTGTGCATTCATTGGTTGCTTCTTGTATGTGCTCTGACTGCAGATGTAACCCTCAACTTTGGTGTGTCGGGACAATGCTCTAACCAACTGAGCTACCCAGCCAGGGCTAAAAATTAGAATTTTGATAAAGCTGTGATCTTCTCACCTTCCTATTTTTTAAACGGTGGTGATATTAACAAACATGATTTGATGCAAATATTTTTAAATGTCAGCAATGGAATATCTACATATCTCATACTACCATCTTTCAATTGACAATTATGAAATATTAAAAAATCATGCATGGTTACAAGATCCAGTGAAAGTGGGAAACAGGCTGTTGGATTTTACTATTACCAGTGTACAAAGTTTGCCATGGTTTCAGATAGCAACTAACTTTTAAAAAATTACCATTTCCTGAGTTTTGGCATTGTACCAAAGAACACCCGCAGTTATCTAAAAAGAAAGGTTATTAAAACATTCATTTTTCCAACTACATTATCTGTGTGAGACTAGACCACCTTCCTATCTTTCAACCAGAGCCTACACAATAGACTCATGAAGATGTAGACATAAGAATCCAGCTGTCTTCCATTAAGCCAGTTATTAGAGATGTATAAAAATGCCAAACAATGCCACTATTCTCCCTACATTTTGTATTTAAAATATTGTTAATGAGTTTACTCTATTTAGAAATAGAAAAATAAAATTTGTGTAAAGTAATATACTCAACACCCATGAACTTTTCAAAATGGTCAGAACTATTTTAACTCTAAAAGTTCTTAATGACCGAATAATCTAGATAATCATATATAAGCTACTCAGATCATGTTAATATTGCAAATATGGCAAGCTTTCTTTTAAACAGTATTTTCATGTTACTTCTTAGCTAAAAAACAAGCATTTAAAAATAAAAGTGGGTCATAATGTACATGTTGACTATCACGCTGCCATATGGTATGTTTCAAAGTCATTAAGAGAGTAGATCTTAACAGTTCTCATCAAAGGGAAAGTTTTTCCTTTGTTTGTTTGGTTTTTTTTGGTATCAGTATGAGATGATGGATGGTAACTAAACTTACTGTGGCAATCATCTCACAATCTATGTAAGTCAAATCATTTGCTATGCACTTTTAACCATCTAGTGCTATGTCCATTATATCTCAATAAAACTAAATATAAAAGTGAATGTTAACTTCTCATTATAAATCCTGCCATACATTTAACTAAAAAAAAAAAAGTATGATCACCAGCTGATTGTACTTTATAAGAATTTTTCTAAAAGATGTATTTTTTATTTAGAATTTCTCATTGTCTGGAGCATTCATTTCTCTTGGAGAAAAAGACAATGTCTCATCCAAAAAATCCAGAAGGATGGAAAACTCCCAAATTCTTTTTATGAAGCCAGCATCATCCTAATTCCAAAACCAGATAGAGACACAACAAAGAAAGAGAACTTCAGGCCAATATCACTGATGAATATAGATGCTAAAATTCTCAACAAAATATTGGCAAATCGCATCCAACAATACATTAAAAAGATCATACACCATGACCAAGTGGGATTCATCCCAGGGATGCAAGGATGGTTCAACATTCGCAAATCAGTAAATGTAATACATCACATTAACAAAAGCAAAGACAAAAACCACATGATCATATCAATAGACTCAGAAAACACTTTTGATAAGGTACAACACCCATTTATGATAAAAACACTCAGCAAAGTGGGAATAGAGGGAGCATTCCTCAATATAATAGAGGCCATATATGAGAGACCTACAGCCAATATCATACTCAATGGGCAAAAATTAAAAGCTTTTCCACTAAGATCAGGAACAAGACAAGGATGTACACTTTCACCACTTCTATTCAATATAGTTTTGGCCACAGCAATCAGGCAAGAAAAGGAAATAAAAGGCATCCAAATAGGAAAGGAGAAAACAAAACCGTCACTGTTGGCAGATGACATGATAGTGTACATGGAAAATCCTATAGACTCTACCAAAAAACTGCTCGAACTAATTAATGAATTTGGCAAAACAGCAGGATACAAAGTCAATATCCAGAAATCAAAGGCATTTTTGTATACTAACAATGAATCAGCAGAAGCAGAAATCAAGGAAAAAATCCCATTCGATATAGCAAAAAGAAAAATAAAATATCTGGGAATAAACCTAACCAAGGAGGTAAAAGACCTGTGTGCAGAAAACTACACAGCACTGAAGAAGGAAATCAGGGAAGACACAAACAAATGGAAACATATACCTTGTTCATGGATTGGAAGAATTAACATCATCAAAATGTCCATACTACCCAAAGCAATATACAGATTCAATGCAATACCTATTAAAGTACCAATGGCATATTTCACAGACATAGAACAAACACTTCAAAAATTTATGTGGAACCATAAACAACCCCGAATAGCAGCTGCACTTTTCAGAAAGAACAAAGGAGGGATCACAATACCTGATATCAAACTGTATTACAAGGCCACTGTAATCAAAACAGCCTGGTACTGGCATAAAAACAGGCACATAGACCAATGGAACAGAACAGAGAGCCCAGAAATCAACCCAACCTTCTACAGTCAATTAATATTCGACAAAGGAGGCAGTAACATAAAATGGAGTAAAGATAGCCTCTTCAACAAATGGTGTTGGGAGAACTGGACAGTTGTGTGCAAAAAAATGAAACTTGAGCACAGACTTACACCATACACCAAAATAAATTCAAGGTGGATAAAAGACTTAAATATAAGCCGTGACACCATTAAATTCCTAGAGGAGAACATCGGCAAGAAAATCTCAGATATTTCACGCAGCAACATATTTACTGATATGTCCCCTAGAGCAAGGAATATAAAGGAAAGAATTAACAAATGGAGCTCATCAAAATAAAAAGCTTCTGCATGGCTAAAGAAAACAGTATTAAATTAAAAAGACAACCAACTGTATGGGAAAACATATTTGCCAATGATACCTCAGACAAAGGTTTAATCTCCAAAATATACAAAGAACTTACATGACTCCACTCTAAGAAGACATCTAACCCAATTTAAAAATGGGGAAAGGACTTGAACAGACACTTCTCCAAGGAGTACAGAATATCCAAAGACACATGAAGAGATGCTCAATATCGTCAGCTATCAGAGAGATGCAAATTAAAACAATGAGATACCACTTTACACCAGTCAGGATGGCTATCATAAACAAAGCAACAAACAACAAATGTTGGAGAGTTTGTGGGGAAAAGGGGATGTTAGTTCACTGTTGGTGGGATTGCAGAATGGTACAACCATTATGGAAAACAGTATGGAATTTTCTCAGAAAAATAAAAATCAACCTGCCTTTTGACCCAGCAATTCCACTGCTAGGATTATAGCCCAAGAATCCTAAAACATCAATTTCAAAGAACCTATGCACCACAATGTTCATAGCAGCACAATTTACAATAGCCAAGAGTTGGAAGCAACCTAGGTGCCTGTCAGTAAATGAATGCATCAAAAAATTGTGGTACATATACACAATGGAATTCTATGCAGCAGAGAGAAAGGAGCTACTACCCTTTGAACCAACATGGATGGAACTGGAAAGCATTATGCTGAGTGAAATAGGACAGGTGTTGAAAGACAAATACCATATGATCTCACCTTTAACAGGAAGCTAAACAACAAAACAAACAAGCAAGCAGAAAACAAAGACACTGAAATAGAGAACAAGGGGACAGTGACCAGAGGGGAGAGAGAAGGGAATTTAAGGGGAAAAAAGGGGAGGGATTTGGAGGAACAAATATGAAGGACACAGGGATGAGAACCAAGGGGGGGTAGAAATGGGAGAAATAGACAAAAAACTGTACTTGAAAAATAACTAAAATTTTTTTAAAAAGACAGTGTCTCAGATCTTCCTACAAAAGTTGAGGCTAGCAAAGACTAATGATCCTTTAGGTTCTATATTCCAAAAGGGAAAAAGATCTAAATTATTTCAGAACTCCTGAGAGGATTTATGAAGAGACTGGAGATCTACCAGATATAAACATAACTGGTAGATTTGTGCTATATACACAGTCATGGTAAAGATAACAAGCATTTCCTGTATTAATTCATTCAATCCTCATAATCCATAGATGAGAAGCTACATAATTTGTCTATAACTCAGTATCGATCTACAGAATCATCATTAACAGGTCATTTGGTCAATTAGGCTTAGTTGTTTCGAATGCTTTCTGTATCTCGGCAAAGACCTATTTACCCTAGTCTTATCTACTGCAGCCAGCCCTTTTGTTTCTACCAGTAGCATCAGACTCTATTCCCAGAAAATATAGTTCTTAAATATTTATTAAAATCCTGTGCCTACAAAATGCCCCCAGAAGAGGAGCTTATGAGTTCAGGTGAGAGCAGTGGAAGGCCATTAAGAGTACAATCTTCACCTGTCTTCTTAGTTGTTATGAGCAGAATGCCAGCTAATTTTCAATTTTTACTCAGATCTGGCATCCACAGCCCCCCCAGGGGCCAACACACACAAAAGAACCACCTGAAATACATCCAACATAACTTCCAAAAATATTAAAAAGTAGCTTTAGAGGCTACCTTCTAGCTTTTCTGTTCTGGACAAGTTTCTCTGGGTAAACTGTTGACTAAATTAAAAACTGACAAAAACTTCAAAACAACATTGAGCAAAAGTAGCCAGATGTAACTTTTATTGGGTGTTCTCATTTGTATAAAGTATAAAAGCAGGCAAACAATCTGTGGTATCAGAGGTTAGTAATGGTGGTTACGACTGGAAATAGGAACAGGGGGTTCAAGGGATTCTAGTAATGGATTTCCCTGATCTCAACTCAGAGTAAAAAGCTATTACTATTGTTCACTTGGTGCACTTTCAGTATCATGTACCATTATTTTGTCCATCCAAATGTGAAATCTCCTCCCTCACATCTTGAGTATTTTCTTCTTCATAACCTCCACAGAATGGTTCTAATTCTGATTCGTCTTCTGGAGAAATCTGCTCCCCTCCCCTGCTCATCTTGGATTCTGCAACAGTATCTTTCACCATTATATGCTCCTAAAAATTCCTATTATTATACATACAAAATTGCATGGTATAGTTTAATCCAAGTTTTTCAATCAAGTACACAATGGAATACACATTAATCTTCCTCATTCAGGAAAGGAGTGCAGGAACTGTCATCTTTCTTGGCCCCAGGATTGGACAGTTGCTTTTCGGGGTAGGGAGGTTTCATGCTGTAACATCCATTTTCTTGAGGTTCCTGTACTCTTTTAACATTTTAATGACATTCATTCCCATTCCTCATCTTTTTTCAAATTGTATTGCACAATAAGAAAATTACATTGCACTCTAAATTGTATCACGGAATGAGCATTTCACACTTTTGAGTTTTATACTACACGTATTTACATGTTTTCTGGGTCACAACTGCTCTACAAAGGCTAAAATGTCACCACCTCCACAAAGAGTATTTCCTTTGAGTACCAGCCCTAAAGGGTTTCTATAAAAGTGATGATTCACCAAGATCATACCTATCGAGTAGCCCAACAGGTATATGACACTGTATTTGGCAATATATTCCTACAGTCCTGATAGCTTACTTACGGGTAAATTCTCCATAAAAAGTATTTATTAACCAGTTAACTTATCTTTCTGCCTGGTTTGATAACAAGGCTTAAAAATCTTGCTGCATGAATACTTGATAAAACAACTTTGTAAGTTGATTAACATTTTAAATAAACATAAAATGTTTATAAAGTTAAATCCAACATATAACATCAGCATGTGGTTGCTTTCTTCTGTGCAAAATAACATGTAGTCCAGAGTTATGAAAATTAAATGTTATCATGTTTGCCTATAAGCAAAATTTTAGACACACAAGTAGAGAAAACCACTTTTAACTGAAAAATAAAACATCTCAAATAAGACTGTTTAATAACATAAACTGTAATCTGCTGAGGAAAATCATTTTTCCTAAGTGGTATTGTGAAATTTAAGTACAAGAGTATCAATAGTTTCCCTCTTATCCTGACTCAGCTGTAAGAATTTTTTCATGAATTTAAACTATAAACTTGTAAATCCCTATTCCTAACCCACTGGCCAAGAGGAGGGAAGACTTTAAACAAACATTTCTCTACTGGGGAGCTCCCAGATAACAGCAAATAAAAGTCAGCATCTTCTTTATGAAAAAGTTTATATGAAAGACATGTGACTATTAATGATATAGAACTAATCCACAAAATTTCAAAACACAATTTCATCAAGATGATTTCTACTACAATTTTCCTTCGAAGTTCTCACATTTCAAAATGGTTTAACTCGACATACTGGAAAGTATTAAACTTTGAAAGAAAGTACTAAAGTTATTGCTTTAAACTGGAAAAACCTATGGTCAAAGTCTCTTTTTAAAAAGTTAAACAGCTATTCTTACAATTACACTCATGTAACTGCAGAGGAAATGTTCAAGCACATAGTAAACATCACTCTTTCGAATGACAGAACAAAGGCATTAGTTCATTAAGATGTATGGCTTTTTGGTGACTGTTATTTCTACCCATAAAGTCATTACTGTTTGACTGAAAAAGGTTTTTACAAAACTCCACTTGCAAAATTAACATTTTTATTAAACCAAGTTAAAAAAAGGTTCACTGTAGAAAAGTCAACAGGGTTTTAACAAAACCAAAATATACCTTTTTATACAATATATGTATATATTAGCAGCAAACTACTTCTGAGATTTTATGTTCTTTTAGTTAATTTAAAGAAAGCATAAACAACTTATATTAGTATGGAATGTGCACTAGTCCACTCTTCATGTTTTATTCTGTGATTTGGACCTTCTATTACAAATTATGATTCTCATTAAGGAATACTAAGAACAAACCCAGTCTGACTAAGAAGCAGTGAAACAATGTGGCTGGTAAAATGTGTGTCACTACTTCATAGTCATGCATTATCTTTTGAGAACAAATGAGCACCATAAAAACAGGTAATTGAGTGTGTGTGTGTATGTGTGTGTAAACTCAATTTCAAGGTATGGTAGCAGCCAACTAAACTATTTATCTTTTGACTGTTACTTTTAAAAATTTGGTGATATACAAAATGTTAATCAAATCAGATGAACACTTCAATCCCATATTGCTATTTTTTAAATCTTAATAAATTCTGTATATGACCTGATAAACTGCATGCATACGTGTATCTATTATACATACATATCTTTAGGTTTGCTTGAATTTCTCAAATTAGATGAAGCCAAACTTTTCACTTAAATATATATGTAGAACATACAACTGAATCACCAACTCAAAGTTTCCAATTAAAGTTTCAGCTTAGCTCATCAGAAATACTAGCTACTGAAATTCTGAAGCCAAAAAGGTTTAATTCAATTAATATACTATAGGCTTATAAATTAGTCAGCCAAACAAACAAGATTTGAAATTACTAATTGCTTGCCAAGGAAATTTTCTCTTCATATTTCCTTCTAACAGCAACAAAAATGAAATATCTTTACAATGAGCTTCACTTTTTGAACAGTTAAAATTATTAAAGAAATCTCACTAGTCTTCAAAAATACTACATGTTATATAAATACCACGTTCTTATAGTTGAATTCTTCAGCTAGAATCTGTATTAAAAATTTTTTTCCTTTGGATTGTTTAACTTAGCACTTCAAGTCTCCATTCTGCACTCAGATTAACTGGCTCAGATTTGTTAGGTTCACATCAATCACATCTTTCAGCATTTGCTACTGCGTTTTACCTGTGTACAGTAACATCAATGGGAGAAACTGCACCGAATTTCAAAAGCCACATAAGGAAAAATTCAAGAATATGTAATATAAAGAAGATAAAGTACAACAAAGATTCCCTTTTCACCATTACATGAAAGAAATACAATCATTTTAATGCTTTTAAAGATGATGTCCTAATGTTCATTTTTTAACTTATCAAAAGAATGAACTTTTTAGATGGCCCATGTTTATTTTTCAATTAAAAAACTAAAACAATAGACTGAATTACTTTTATTAATATACACATCAAGTTATTGAAATGGTGACTTCATGTAGCTTTCTCCTTAAAGACGGCACTTGCAGGTACAAAGATGCACAGATGTCTACAGCTTTCAGATGTTTACTTGAAAAGATTCTTCAACAGCAGTTTGATACTGGGTTTCCTCATCTAGCTGAAGATTCTACAAATGATAATATTAATATGTCAATAGGAAAAACATAATACACTATTCACTACTTTGTCCTATATATTACACATCTTGACATATACACTACACACTTGAAACAGTTTATGTTACAACATGTATCCTTTAGTTATTTGTTTTTTAGCCTTACCCAAGGACCTTTTATCACTGCTTTTTAGACAGCCAGAGAGAGAAATATTGATTGGTTGCTTCCTCATATGCATCCCAAGAGGGGATCAAACTGGCAACCTGGGCATGTGCCCAGGGAATCAAACTCAATAGGACAAAGCTCCAACCAACTGAGCTACACCACCCAAGGCCAACATATATCCTTTAAAATATAGGAATTATATATAAAAACTTTAATAAAAAACTAAATTTAATTGTAATAATTTAGGAATAATTGATAAACAACAGAAAGGTGCAGCAGAGAATGAAAATTGAAAGTAAAAATGTCTTATGGTAAGTCATTAATTCAAAGTATGGTTGAAGGTAACCCACAATTATAAATTTTGTGATTGCTAAAAAAGAATGACAATGTCTAAAGGTAAATTCATTTAAAAAAAAATAAATTTTTGTTGAATAATAGGTTCTTAACCATGAAGCTAAAAACTATAGCTCACTGATTCTGAGTTATACTACTACTCCTAAATTTAAAAATTCTATTTGCTATCAAGTATGTCCTATGGGTTTGCTTTAGAATAGGCTTCCACTTGACAATCTTGAATAATTAAAATTACATATTTTTCTGAGGCAAGGTAAAACAATCTGCCAAATATACCAAAAGGGGCTCACCAAATATGTTTTTGCTTTTCCAAATACACAGTCCTCCAGACATAGTAACTTTCTTGCTTACAATGAGAATTTTAAAATAATCTATAATTACTTCATTAAAATGCATTGTAAGAGTACACCTGAATTTTACATATATTTGAATTGTTATTTTTAAATAGTATGTTTAGCCTTGGCTGGTATGGTTCAGTGGATTGAATGCCAAGTCTGCAAACCAAAGGATCACCCATTCAGTTTCCCAGTCAGGGCACATGCCTGGGTTTCAGGCCGGGTCCTCAGTGGGGAAGCCCATGAGAGGCAACCACACACTGATGTTTCTCGAGTCCCTCTTCTTATCCCTCCCTTCCCCTCTAAAAATAAATAAATAAAATCTAAGAAAAAAAAAAAAGAAAGAAATAGTATGATTAAAAATGCCAATTCCACAAAATATTTATCAAGAATGATGTAATTTCAACACTGAAAGGTAGAGAAAAATGTAAATTTTATCCATGCCATTGTCAGAGTTGCACATGCCTGTACTTACTACCTAAACTTGAAAACAAGTATCAACTATTCTTTGTCAAAATTAATTTTAAATTAGGTAAAGTTGAAATTCACTAAAGCGAATAAAATGAAATTTCACAGTAAGTAAAACAAAAGCCACATGTAATTTTTTTAAATTATCATGACACATTTGGAAGGCAGAAACTGACCGCATATTTTGTTTGGGGATCCACTTTTTGCATTATGTAACTTTCCTCACTCACCTTGTTAAAGCAGTCAACTAAGGCCAAAATCTACCATTCAACCTGGCTTTACTTGATGATTAAGCTAACTCATTTTAAAAAATATGTCTCACATGCTACATATAAGTATTATAATGGATTTAGAAAGCAACTTACATGAAAAATACATCCTCCTCAACCTGTTGCACCAATTTTACTTCTCTAGCAGTTAGGTTTCCGTTATAGAGTTTTCATATAAATCATTTTGTTAATCTGAGGGTTTGTTCTTCATCTTATTATTTATCTCTCTTGTACAGGAGGTAGACATTATATTGAACTTTTAACCACTTTTACAAACCAAAATTCATCTATATTATTATAGAAACGGGGGTGGGCTTGGAAGGGAGTAAAAGACAGAAAACTGTACTTGAACAATAATTTTAAAAAAGGTCAAAAAAAGAAAAGAAACAAGAGAATTTGCTCTGTAACCATCCAACATGATACAACAGCTTGCCTCAAAACTCATGTCTAGATTGAAAAAGTTAATTTAACTTGATACTTAAACAGTATTTTCTTAATCTTGAAGAATTCACTTACCACAAATTCTCCATAATCAAACTGATGTCTTTGATTTAGATGACTAACGAAATTTCTAGTAATCTGGCTAGGATCTCCCCAAGGAAGAGACACACAAATAGGACACGTCTATGAGAAACAATGTTTTAAATTAAAAAAAAAAAGAAAACATTATGATTATTGAAAGTATTAAACACAGACTTATAAAACTGAAAACACCTACATGAAAAGCATTCTACAACCAAATTCCACGACTATATCATTTGTCAACCAAATTACCTTAGGTAAATTATGCCATTCTAATACAGCACAATAAAAAGGAAATCTTATACATTCTATTACTTAAATCTCCAACTACACAACAGTTTCAACAGAAACACCACATCCAGCCTTTAACAATACTATTTGTAATGGTAGTTATCATTAACCAGTATGTAATCTCATTTGAGCCACATAATAACTGTGATATAATTATTATAAGCTTTATTTCATTTATAAGTAAAATGAAAGTGTAGTAGTCAACTTTAAATTGTACCCTTAAGGTTTTAAATGAAGTACATCTTTAAAAATGAATAAATGACATTCTGAAATGAAAAAAGAACTTTAGTTACTGGACTCTAGCCAAAAGTCTATGCTATATTGAATAAAACATAAAAACAAAAATTTGCTAAAAATGCAATATAAAACAAATAAAATCTCTTAAATGTGTTTTTTTTTTCCTAGAGACATCTCAGGACTATATTTGTTTATTTAACAGTAACTAACTCTTTCTTTCCTAATGCACAAATTCGGTGGTATGTCTCCCTTAAGTGCTAGGAGACAAGTTTAAGGGCATCCTCAATAATTACTGAGGCATATTCTTTCAGAATTTTTTCTAGTACATCCACTAAAACTGCTTAGAAATAGCTACAATCCTTATTTTTATTTGTAATATTTCCTTCTATCCTTATTTCTGAAGAAAATGTTTATATATCAAAATGTACAGCTGAAAGGGCAGTATCTCTCCTAGCTCAGTATGTCCTGTTTCACCCACAATTGAAATCACTTACCTGTGAAACTTAGGTTCCAAATGAGGAGTTGTAGGATCATTAACACAATGTTGGAATCCTGCACTCTGCACTATCTCCTTCATTCATCAAAAAGGTCTCACCACTTTCTTACACACTCTCAAAATGGTATCAAAAAGATATATATGCATCAAAAAGTAAGTATGATTTCTTTCCTTCCTTGCTGTATGAATTCATATACTAGATTCTGCAAGGATACAAATTAAAAATACCTAGTGACTTTATTTTACTTATAGTTTTCACCTACAACAGATCCACCTGACCAGATAAAGCTGACTACATCCTATAGACCAAGTAACTGAGCAATGCTAGGGCTAGGTAATGAATTCCCAGTTCACCTTTCAATATGTCACTCTTCTCTAGATATTCTACATTACCTTCATAATAAGTATCTCCCTTTCATAAGTCAATTACTAAAATCTTATTATACTTCAAATCTTTCATCTTTTGCTGACAAAAATCTTTTGTTGACAAAGGGGCATTATTGATAATGCCCCTTCCTAATTTAAATCAACCACCTTCCCTGTTATATGCATGATGTGAAATGAATGGAACAGCATACTAAGCTGAAGACTATTAGAAACATATGCACTTACCACAGGAACTATCTGAAAGAGGTGATTACTGTTACAGTGATCCAGTAAACGCTGTCTAGTAAAATTTGATTCTTGACACAAGGGACACTTAAACGTGGGATGCCCAGAAGAACTATAAAACAATTTAAAATGAAGTATACTTAATTTGAAATTACAAATCACAACATAGAAGTAATGTTCTCCTGTTTTTTTAACGAGTTACTACAAGGTTCTTTTTTTAAGTTATAATTATTAGACTGCTGAAAGATTCTCTAATTTTTAAGGGAAAAAAACTATGTTTTCAATAAATAATTTACAACCAATGCTTCTAATCTCATTTTAATGTCTCAGTAAACTTTTTCATGGTGCCTCTAGACCAAAACCAAACCAAACCTTACTGTTCCATGTATTAAGTAGTTAGATCCAAACAACTTAATTTGGTCATTCGTCTGAGGACAACAGATGTCACTGCATGCACCTTGAAAATTTTAAATATCCTGTGATGTCCCAGTTTAGAAACCCTCTATCCCCCTATCTAGGAACTTAATTTTGAAAAGACTCCCAATATCTTTCATCTATCCCAGTCTCTGGAACTCTAATATATAAAATTCCTAGGAAAAAGTAAAAACAAAAAAGCACTGAGAATCAAATTGATTGGTATTTCAAAACATCTTGCGGATCATGCATCACTGGGTTTTAATACTTCTGAATTTCAGCAAGGGACAGTTCGATACTGACAACTCTACCTAAATTACACATGAAGGAAACCTAACCACAGTGAAAGAGGATAGCTAAAAACTCTTCTAATTTAACATGATCCATAGGAGTAGCAACTGCATCATTTATTTATAAACTACTAAGTTCTAGCATTGTGTCTGGCGATATAACTGAATAAAGTTTTTAACTAAAAAATCTATTATTATAAAGTAATAAATAGATATTATTTACTAAAGTAGCAGGATTTTCAAAAGCTTACCTTGTATTCTCTTGATAAGTTTCTATGTTATCAGATGTGGATGTTTCACTCCTATTACTTAAGAAGCATAGGGGGATAAAGTTAATACCTCAAGTAATAAAGCACATTACAGATTCATCAACTTGAACTGCTAATGAAGACTAGTCCCAATTTGTTTTAAAAGCCTGAACTTCAAATTGTTCTGAACAACAAAACACATGGCATTAGTTATTTTTCAAATAAATCTTAATTAAGACTGTTTATTAAAATAATTAAGACTGTTTATTCAAAATTAAAATATGCAGTTACAAAAGTGTAAGAATATAGAATTTTGCAGAATTACCTTAAATCTACAGCATGATAACATTTCCCCAGGTCCTTTAGACTATAAAATTAATAATACCTCTACCTCTATCCAAGCTAGTATGTATATGAATGCTGGGGTAGGCTCAAGAATTCATGAACTTTTTGGTTTGTAAATAGGATATGGATTAAGGTTGTGGTCTTCAAAGTAGAATAGGTTTAAGAAAATATTTGAACATTCATTTGCCAAAAAGAAACTAGGCTCTCCAACACTTAATATATAGAAAAACTTGACATCCTCAGTCAGACCCCATGCCAGAATCATGAGTCATATGCATTATTAGAGGAATCCTGAGGGAAGAGTGAGTATTCCATACAGGGACATTACAGAATTTCATCAATGTGGTCAATTATATAAAAACAACTTTCAATAGCAGAAATGTTAAAGGAGAAATGAGACAGCTAGTGAATAAAAGATATACAAGGTATATATACCACATAGGTTTAAAAGAGTTGTTAAACTCAAAAACTGGTTATTCATTTTTCTTTTACAAAAAGACAAGCAACATAGCTGGTATTCTACATCCAAGAATTTTGCATCTGTAGATTCAACCAACCATGGACTGAAAATACACAGGAAAAAAAATATCAGGAAGTTCCAAAAAGCAAAACTTGAATTTGCCATACACTAAGCACTATGCTAAATCCATGTGAATGACATGATGCATAGGTAAAGTCTCCTGTAACCTATTTGAAAATATTGGTTATGGGCAAACACTATGCTTTTTTATATAAGGGATCTGAGCATCCTCAGATTGTGGTATCCAAGGAGGGTCCTAGAACTAATCTCCCTATCAGATGTTCTTTCCTTTTTTAATTTTCTTTTTTCAGTTTATTTTTTCATAATAAGCTACATACAACAAGGTGTATTTAGTGCAAAGACATGCTCCAATAACAGTTCCCTTCTGTGAAGGTAACAATGTGATCTCTCCACACATATTCTATGCTAGGCAAAGAAGCAAAGTCCCATTTAATACTCAAATAAGAGACTATTAAACCACAATTTTGCACCTTTCTGGCAGATTAATGTGTGCTAGGTATAGGTAAAGATGGCATTTTAATAATATGGTGACTAACAACTGCTTTTTAAAACAAACTCAAACTATTAAAAAGATGTCATAATTTTGTTACCCAAAACAGTATGTCATCTATTTCTTAAAGTCTCACATCTCTATACTCCAACTTGGTAACAGATTTTTCTACTGTTTTTAAATTATCCATATGAATATAATCACTGAGTTTTAACATGTCCTTTAAAAATATAACTTCTGATTGGTTTGTAGAAACACCTGTACCATTATCAGGAAAGATGAGATTAAAAATCTTAGTAATCTCAACCTATGGCATAATTCTTCCTTTGGATCAACATTTTACTGTGTGGTAGATGTCTTTTTTCCAGCCATGACAGTCATCAAAACCAGTATCAAAGTAAAGTGAACTTAGATCCAAATCTTCAGTTACTATATCACAGTGTTACACTAAGATTTTTAAAAATTTAAGAAAGCATAGTCAACAACATTATTTTAGTAAAGTATTAACGAACTTTCAATGTTAAAAAAATTATGCCATTAAATAAAGCAAAATTTATTCTTAAAATAACTTTTTCATCTTTCAATTTTATATTTTATAATGTACCTAAAATATCAGTACCATAAAATACATGCATAGTTTTTTTTTTAATCTTTAGAGGGGAGGGGAAGGAGAGAGGGAGAGAAACATCAATGTATGGTTGCCTCTCATGAGGCAGTTCCTAGCAGTTCCACTGCTAGGAACTGGCCTGCAGGGAACTGGTCTGCAACCAAGGCATGTGCCCTGACTGGGAATCGAACCTCGATTGTCTGGTTCGCAGGCCTGTGCTCAATCCACTGAGCTACACCAGCCAGGGCCTCATGCATAGTTTTTATATAAACACATATTCTAGGCATACTTACTCATATTTTTCATTGATGAGGTATACAATCACAAAATTTTGATTTAAAGAATTTTAATATCAAAATTAATGTCCTTTTTAAATACTTTCATCCATCTCCTACTATAAAATTCCCTATTTTTCATTATTACTATCATTATATCAACCTAGTCTTCCCTAATCATCCTATATCATGCCTTGGCTACTACTGGTAGCCTACTCATTTATTTTAGAAACACATGAATGGGTTCAACAACAACAAAAAAATCTATTACTTGACACCATATTCTCAACTAAAAATAGATGTGTGAGACTGCCTCAAACTAAAAAGCTACTACACATCAAAGAAAGTAATTTAAAAAATGGCAAAAATACGGAATAGGAGAAACTTTGCAAACCATGTATCTAATGCGAGGTTAATTACAAAATACATAAAGAACTCCTACAACTCAAGAGCAAAAATACTAATTACAAAAAGTGCTAAAAACTTGAACAGACATTTCTCCAAAAATGAAATACAAATAGCCAGCAGGTATATGAAAAGATTCTCAATGTTACTAATCATCAGAGGAATGTAAATCAAAACCACAATAAAGTAATATCTCACATCTATTATGACAGCTATTTTTAAAAGATAAGTGTTTGTGAAGATGTTAAAAAATTGGCACCCCTGTATACTGTTGGTAGGAATGCAAAATTAGTGCAGCTGCCATAGAAAATAGAACTACCATATGATCTAGCGATCCCCCTTCTGAGTATTCATCTAAAAGGACTGAAATCAAGACTGAAGAATTGTAGATCCATTCAGAATAACCAAGACTTGGAAAGAACTTTATGAAGAGATAAAGAAAATGTGGTATATAAATACAATGAAATGTTATTCATCCTTAAAAAAAAAAAAAAGGAAACCCTGCAGTGTGACAGCATGAATGAACCTTGGGGACATTACACTAAGTTAAAGCCAGTCACAAGGCAAATACTGCAATGATTCTACTTATGTGAGGTATCTAAAATAGTCAAACTCTTAGAAACAATAGAATGATGGCTGCCAAGGGCTAGGGGAAGAAGGAAGAGGAAATGAGTTGGTAATCAACACATACAAAATTTTCAGTTATACAAAATAGGGTCCAGAGAGCTGCTGTACAACATGGTGTCTATAGATAATATTGTACACTTAAAAATGTTAAATTTTTAAAAATCAGTTAAAAGGATAGATATCTCATGTTAACTATTCTTACTACAATAAAAAATAAAACTAAGTATGACTATGTCACTTTATGCTAAATTAAATTGTGATATTGCCTACCAGTTCCCAGGAGGGGACTCAAGAGAGGCAACCATACATTGATATTTCTCTCCCTCTCTCCTTCCCTTCCCCTCTAAAGATAAATAAATGAAATCTTTAAAATAAAAAAACCAAACTTTTCCTTTCTTCACCAATTTCCTTACAAAAATTGAAATACAAACTCAATTTTTCTATTGCAATTAGAATTTTGCATAGAATATAAATATGAATAACCACATTCTGGATAAAAAGATACATATAACATGTAAAATAAGTTCAAGTATAAATAAATACGAAGTATTAGATGGTCCAGTTCTAAGTCTTCAAAGAAAAGAAAAAGTCTACCAGCTGGCAAAGTGTGGGTTGAGGTGGTGAGGAAAGGGAGCTCTTCTGGTAAAAGTATGGAGGTAAGAGAGAGATTACAATGATAATGACGATGATTAAAAACGAACATTACCAACTTCCGCCAAGATGGAGGCATAGGTGGAAGCAATGCAGCTTCTCACACAACCAAGTTTAAAAACAACAAAGTTTTAGCAACAAAAACGCAGCCAAACCAAAGAAAATTGAACTACACGGAAGTCTGGGCAGAGCCAGCAGCAGAGTGGGGTTGGGCAGGAAAGATCCACCGGACCAACCCGGGCACACAACCCAGGTGCACCAGCAGCCGTGGGCAGATCCCAGGTGTGGAGAAGCGGAAGGACCCACCAAGGGCTGATAGTGGTTACACATTAGCACGCAGAAAAACTGATGAAGGAGCTAGCAGTGAGATGGACCATGTAAGCCCCAGTGGCAGGAAGCGGCAAAGGGAACTGCCATTGTCCCTCTCTGACCCCACCCCCACATACAGCATCACAAACCAGTGACCTAGGTGGCCCCACCCTGGTGAACATCTAAGGCTCCACTCCTCATACGTAACAGGCACAAACAGATCAAAACATGGCTCAAGAACAACTCAGAGTCCCAGAGCCAATACATCTAAGCAATGAAGAAATAGCCAAACTTTCAGATGAACAGTTCAAAACACTGGAAATCAGGACACTCACAGAACTGGTTGATTTTAGTCACAAATTAGAGGAACATATGAAGGCTAAACTAATTGAAATGAATGGAAATGCACAGGAAACCAATAGTAATGGAAAGGAAACTGGGACTCAAATCAAAGGAGTGGACCAGAAAGAGGAAAAAACTGACCAAACAGAAAAGGATGAAGAAACAAGAATTCAAAAAAATGAGGAGAGGCTTAGGAACCTCCAGGACATCTTTAAGCGTTCCAACATCCGAATTATAGGGGTACCAGAAGGGGAAGAGGAACAGCCATGAGTGGAAAACTTATTTCAACACATAATAAAGGAGAATTTCCCCAATCTGGCAAAGGAAATAGACTTCCAGGAAATCCAGGAAGCTCAGAGAGCCCCAAAGAAGGTGGACCCAAGGAAGAACACACCAAGGCACATCATCATTACATTAGCCAAGATTAAAATGAAGGAGAGAATTCTAGAAGCAGCAAGAGATAAGGGGACAGTCATCTACAAAGGAGTTTCCATCAGACATTCAGCTGATTTCTCAAAAGAGACCTTACAGGCAAGAAGGGGCTGGAAAGAAGTATTCCAAGTCATGAAACCCAAAGACCTACATCCAAGATTGATCTATTTAGTGAAGCTTTCATTTAGAATGGAAGGGCAGATAAAGTGCTTCTCAGATAAGATCAAATTCAAGGAGTTCATCATCACCAAGCCCTTAGTATATGAAATGTTCAAGGGACTTACCTAAGAAAAAGAAGATAAAAAAGATGAACAGTGAAAAGACAGCAAACTCACAGTTATTAACAACCACACCTAAAACAAAAGCAAACTAAGAGGACAGCTAGATCAGGAGTGAACCATAGAAATGAAGATCACATGGAGGGTTAGCAACAGGGAAGTGGGAGAAGGAGAAGGGGGGAGAAGGTGCAGAAAATAAGTAGCATAGATGGTAGGTAGAAAATAGATAGGGGGAGGGCAAGAATAGTATGGGAAATATAGAATCTAAAGAACTTGAGACGCGTGGTCATAAACTAATGGGGGAGAATGGTGGGGGAGGGGGGTGTGTAGGGTGGAGGGGAATGAAGGGGGGAAGAGAACAACTGTAATGGCATAATAAAATATATTTAAAAATTTAAAAAAGAGATATGCAAAAAAAAAACCCACTAACATTACCTAAGAAAGTACTGTTCAGTATGCTTGACCTGTATTAATCTATTTATTGACTCCTAACCCAATGAGGTGCTCATAAGTATCTTCACCACCATCCACTTTTTTAAACAGATGAGAAAACTGAGGTACAATTTCTTACCAAAATTATACAATTAGAAGTCACAGAGCCTGGGACCTAGGCAGTCTGGTTTCAAGCCTTCATTTTTAACCTCTAAGTTATATTGCTTCTCAAGGATGACAAGGGTACAACACAAATAATTCAACATAACTAAAGCATATGATACAATGTTGGGAAGTCAAGAAAGATAAAGGTTAAAAAGAAAGGCAAGTGCCAGATCAAAAGGCTTTAGAGTAAGAAATTTTGTCTTGTAAGCCATTTGTTGGATTTTACACCAAGAAACCCCTTAAGAATCTTGACCTCACCTGAAAAAAAAGTACATAAACAAAAATTTAACAGTTTATGTGGTTTAGAGCCCTTACTGACCCATGGAACCTTGGATGAGAAACACTGTTATAGGGCTATGAAACGTCATTAACAAGGTATAGAGGGAAAGGTACAAGGACAGGGAGAAAGAGATCAGAACTGCACTTCTGAAATATCACTTTAGCTAGAGTATATAAGACAGATTAAAGGAAAACCACTACCTAAAGTCCCATTGCAATAAACAGTTCAGGTGAGAGATGATGAGGGCTTAAGCTAAGACAGTGACAACAGAGATAGAAAAGAAGAGCACAAATGAGGGATACTACTATTAGAAATCAAGACTAAAAAAAACATCAGCAAACTGAAAAGGGAACCACTGTATGGGAAAATATATTTGCCAACGATACCTTGGACAAAGATCTGAGCTCCAAAATATATAAAGAACTCACATGACTGCATTCCAAGAAGACAAACAACCCAATTAAAACATGAGCAAAGGCCCCTGGCTTACATGGCTCAGTCAATTGAGTGCCAGACTGCAAACCAAAGGGTTACCAGTTCAATTCCCAGTCAGGGTTCATGCCTAGGTTGTGGGCCAAGTCCTCAGTGGGGGGTGCACGAGAGACAACCACACATTAATATTTCTCTCCATCTCCTTCTCCCCCTTCCCTTCTCACTAAAAATTAAATACATACATACATACATACATAAGTATTTTTTTAAAGGGGGCAAAGGACCTGAACAGACACTTCTCCAAGGAGCATATTCAGAGGGCCCAAAGTCATTAAAGGATGCTCAGCATCACTAGCCATCAGACAGATGCAAATTAAAACCACAATGAGATACCACTTCACACCAGTCAGAATGGCCATCATAAATAAATCAACAAACAACAAGTGCTGACAAGGTTGTAGAGACAAGGGAACCCTAGCACACTATTGGTAGGATGCAGACTGGTGCAGCCACTGTAGAAAACAGAACAGAATTTCCTCAGAAAACTAAAAATGGAACTGCCTTTGGATCCGGGACTATGCCCTAAGAATCTTGAAACACCAATTCAAAAGAACCTTTGCACTCCAATGTTCATAGCAGCACAACTTACTATACCCAAGGGCTGGAAGCAACTCGAGTGGCTATCAGTAAATGAATGGATCAAAATGGGATACTACACTGCAGGAAGAAAGAAGGAACTGCTACCTTCTTTCTTCCTGGAACTGGAAAGCATGAATGCTAACTGAAATAAGCCAGGCAGTCAAAGACAAATACCATATGATCTCACCTGTAAGTGGAACCTAATCAACAAAACAAATAAGCAAACAAAATATAACCAGAGACACTGAAATAAAGAACAAACCAACAGTGACTAGGGGGGAAGGGGATTAAGGGGGAAAATAGGGGAAGGGTCATCAAGGAACATGTATAAAGGACCCATGGACAAAGCCAATGTGAGGTAGCATTGAGTGTGGGAGGTGGGGGTGGGAGGAGTAGTGGAGGGTGGTGGGGGAAACTGGGGGCAACTGTAGCTGAACAACAATAAAAATAGATAAAAATTTAAAAAATAAAAAAGAAATCAATAGTATCTATGACCAACTAGATCTAAGGAGTAAGAAGGAAGAAGGCACATCTCCTAAGAAGAAAACTTGGTTATTTCACACTCAGTGATTGCACAAATCATAAGTATTAGGAACTTTGCTAAGAGCTGGAGATACAATGTTCAACAAGACAAATACCATCCCTGCCCCTAAAAATAATCTATTGAATTATTAACAAATTGTTGAGTTATTTCAATAAAGAAGTACAATAATAAAAACAGATGAAGGAACCAAAAGGAATTTTTAAAAATTGTCATCCAATGACATTAAGTAAAATGAGAACATGAAAGCATTCTGCAGAATAGACAATCAGAAAAATTACTAAAGACAGGAAAGTTTTAACTGAGAAGTACGTAAAAAGCCTAAGTATGAGTGATTACATTACCAAAAATTAGCAACATGTGACGTGAATTGCTACCAAAATAAAATCACAAGAGTCTCTGCTTAACATACTGTCTCAGGGGCCTTTCTATAATACTGCCAATATTGGTTGTTGTTTTTTTTACACAATTGTGTGTGTGTGCTTGTTATTCTAACACTTCACTATTAGAATACATGCTATAGTGGTAATACTATAAAAAAAAGGGAATTGCCCAAAAAAGAGGATAGTGGTTACTTCTGGGCATATGGAGTTCAGATGATCATGGGCTCAGCTCAAAAGGAGCCCAGGTCCTAATAAGTGTTCTATTTCTTGACCTGAGTTAGTGGATAATTAGGTATTTATCACTATTTTTAAAGCCACATATGTATTTTGACCTCTCTTCTATATGAAATACATTTCATAAAATGTCTAATATACAGAAATCTAAGACATTAAGACATAAATTAAGCTAAAATCTAGTTTTAAAAAAAAAATGAGACTAACCTAGAACTAAGAATTTAACAGTACCAGGTGTCTTTTAAATGACATCTTATTATCAGAGTAAAAATCTCAAATAACTCTATTTCTTAGGTAGTAAAAAGATTTCAGTTTATAAATACATTACTAAAAGGGATTTTTTCTAGTTTTTAAATAATCTCACTTGCAAAAGAAAACAGCCAATTCTCAAGTCTATTTTTTATTCAAAAAAGTATAGATTTCCCTAAAATGATTTTATTTTAAAGATTTTATTTATTTTGAGAGAGGAAGGGAGGGAGAAAGGGAGAGAAACGCTGATGTGCAACAAAGTTCATCTATCAGTTGCTTCTTGCGCAGCCCCAACTGGGGACCTGGCTCACAACCCAGGCATGTGCCCTGACTGGGAATTAAAATGGCGACCTTTTGGTTCACAGGCTGGCACTCAATCTGCTGAGCCACACCAGCCAGTGTTCCTAAAATGATTTTTAAATAACATAAGCTTAAAGATAATCTCCCACATGTAATCTTACAGGTGTCAAACTTCTGAATACACAAATGATATAGTTCTCATGTTACTTTAAAAACATATACACATAAAACATACCTTATCATATAATTCCCCAAACAATTTCCATTTTAACTATAAAAATTCTCTTTTTAAGAATAAATATTGCTTACCTGCTCCCTACTGAATCTTGAGAGATCTGAAAGTTTGGAATGATAGCAGAAACACCATATTCATCTTGATACTTCTTACAAGACTTGTAATGATGTCTCATGCGATAGAATTTAATCTGTAAATTATTGATTAAAATGTAACATGGCTTTTTTCAAAAAAATTTTATTTATATAGCTACAGGTATAAAAAAGGCACAGAGAAAACACTGGATGGTGCTGTTTTAAATCAGAATTTTAGGCACAGAAAGATCTATCCACACCTTCTGAGGTGAGGTGCTGAAAAGGTCAGCCCCCCAGTAGCCAGAAACACACACAGTAAATAAAGAAGGCACTGAACAGTCCAATTGCTGACAGTGACAACAGTACCAGGTGTTAGGCCAATGCAGTCAGACCAGACCTTTATTCAGCAACCTCAGTATTTGAATTCCGGCTAAGAAAGAATTCAGAGTCAAGACTCAAACTATAGAAGGAAGTTTATTTAGAAAGTCACAGAGGTAGAATAAGTGAACTGTAGAAGAAATGGACTTAGGGAACACGTTACAAAGGCAAAAGAGGGCTCTTGGAGCTTAGGAGAATGAGGCAAGGAAAATGTGGCTAAGAGGAACATGGTTGGGGGAAAGGAGCAGGTGTGCGCCCTACAGACAGCCACTGTAATGTGGCTTTTATTTTTATATAAAATTCACAAGATTTGACATACTGTCAAAAGGGGGAGAAAAGATAAAAATTGATAGCTGAATATTCCACTGAAACAAGAGATTTTTTTAAATAAGTGATTTAATTCTTAATATGTTTCTGTCCATTAGATGAACTGACAATGGAGAAGAGTCCATCTGCCTGTAAACTCACTGCAAAAAAAATTAACAAATAATTTTACACTTGAAACAATACTAATAATATACAAAAAATGAAAGTACTATAAAGATGCCTCATGGTATTGGGTATTTCTTTATTCTTTCACTAGTGCAACTTGGCAGAATTAGAAAGCACTTTAAAAAACTACATTCCTTGGTTAACACTTGGAACATTTTTCAGTTTCTCACTGACTAGAGCCCAAAATCTCTCAAGTGTAGTTTCTAGCTTCACTTGTCAGTTAAGACCTCCCTCAAAGAGATGGAAACACAGATCTGACTTGTGTGAATGCATGAAATAGCAACTGGGTTTACTCACTGACTGTATTAGCTTTTTGAAAAAGTAGCTGCAATAAATCCACAAACACATGGATATACTCAAGGCCTAACCACACTTCACCATTGCACTCCTTCTCCAAATGAGAGTACAATAAAATCCAGATTGGAGAATTAATGCCAGTTACTTGTCAATAGCTAATTTTCCCACTTGCTCCTTAAAATTTAAGCAAAGTCTTCTGCTGATATTTTGTAATTTCTTAGATGAAACACATAAATAAACAAGTGGGCAGCTAACAATTCCTTGACAACAAAAATCCATTTGGTTATTTCTACACGCAGAATTGCAATGATGATACTATCATCAGAAAAACTATTTAATGGTTGAATTTGTATCAGAGTGGGGTTTAAATGAGTAGAATACTAGTTTGCTCATTTTCATTTAGTTCAAATCATCTATGTTTAGTAGATAATAAATGAGTAATTACTTTGAGAATAAAAAGAATATGGTAACAATTATGGTAAATTCAGAGATTGTGCCTTTCAGTTTCTGTTTTCAGTAAAATTTATAATCTATACCCATAGCTTTTTTTTTCTTTTGGCATTTTCAGCCCAACTATTAATCTAAGTAACTTCTTTCTCTTCAAAAGGGCACCCACGAAGAATATTCAGACAGGAATTTCAGAGTAAAACTTGACTTTCAAGAGCTATGTCACATTTACTGTACCTGTTTTGCACAGCATCTGCAGCTACCAGACAACTTCCTCATGACATTTTCAAGGTCTAAAGCTCGTTCAGGACATGCTCTTTCTCTTCTAGTCACAGTTCCACGACAGAGGGGACAATGTATTCCACTTTCTCTCATCGCAGTCAGGAAACATTTTCTACAGAAACTAAACCAAACATGTATGACATGTTAACTACAGAAAAAAGTAGTCATTTAATTGCTATCATTAAAAACAAATAAGCACTTATGAATATATACTCATGCTAAAAATAAGTTAGGCTATTCACATGTACATAAAGCCTGAAAGAGGCGGGATACACTTCTTGGAGAAGGGAATGACAGGAGTTTCTGGAGTGTTGAATAGACAGGTATGCTTGGTTTGGGAAAAACTCACTAAGCTGGACATGTATGATGGGGCACTTTTCTATTATGTATATTATACATAAATGAAAAAAAAGGAGTAAAAAAGAAGGGTAATTATGTTAAAATTGTTATAAATAATAGTTACACTAAGATTATCCTATAACTAATGTAAGATAATATTGAATATAAACTGTAATTGAAAATAAAATTTTTAAAAGATTATCATCTAATCAGGCTTAAAATAAAATTAAAAAATTTCTAGAATCAATCCTGCGCTCAATCCACTGAGCTACACCAGCCAGGGAAAAATACAATTTTATAGTACTAGTGGTATTTTGGAGGTTAGCCCAATTTTGTGGAAAGCAACATGACATTTATAAAAAAGAGCAGTCAACCATTTACTGAGTACTTAATATGTGCTAGACAATGTTTCAGAAAACTTATATTCATTCATTACCTTGAGTTCTTAAAAATAAGTATTTTAAAAGACACTGAGTTTCCTCATCTGTAGAAAACTAAGGCTTTCAAAATAGCTTTTTTAAAATTAAAAGGCTATGAGCACGGACCTGTGAACCAAACAACTGTGGTTCGATCCTCAGTCAGGGCACATGCCTGGGTTGCAGGCCAGTTCCCAGCGGGGGATGCACGAGAGACAACCATACACTGTTATTTCTCTCCCTCTCTCCTTCCTTTCCCCTCTAAAGATATATAAATAAAATCTTTAAAAAAAAAAAAAGAATGCGCTCTCCTGACATAAAATAAAATAAAAGAGGCTAAAAGCTAAAAGATGTTCCTTCACTAAAATACAAGGCCCTGAATGTTCCCTCTACCTTGGAGTCTTTGCCCAGAATGTTCCCTCTACCCCAGAATGTTCTGTACACAAACACAGCCCTCTAAGCCCTAGCCAGGTATCTCAGTTGGTTAGACCATCATCCCAATACGCCAAGGTTGCAGGTTCAATCATCCACTAGGGTACATACAAGAATCAATCAATGAAGGCATAAATGGGTAGAGCAAAATTATCGATGTTTCTCTCTCCCCCCATTTCCTTTCTATAAAAAATTGATAAAGTAAATTCTTTAAAAAAATCAACCACAGCCTATTATAAATGAATACATATATACCACTTAAATCTCAGCAACAGTATCTCCTCCTCAAGAAACAGTCTTTGACTACCTACCCATCCACCCCCAACCCATCCGAGATCTGATCCCCTTCTTATACGTTCTCAGAACCTAAGTTTGCAACTACACATTTATCTGAGTATTTATGTGAATGAAAATACGTCTCAGCCTTGGCTGGTATGGCTCAGTGGATTAAGTGCCAGCCTGCAAAACCAAAGGTCATTGGTTTGATTCCCATCAGGACACATGCCTGGGTTGCAGGCCAGATCTCTAACAAGGGGCTCATGAAAGGTAACCACACATTAATGTTTCTCTCCCTCTCTCTCTCCCTTCCCCTCTCTAAAATAAATAAACAAAATCTTTAAAAATAAAAAAATTAAAAAGAAAATACATCTCAATAACACAAGCTCTGAGAGAGAAGGGATCATCGTATCTAACTCTTTAACACTGTATGCCCAGCACAGAGCTAGGCAACTAATAGGCATTCATTAAATCTGTCAAAACAATGAATGCTAAATTAATTTAATCCAATCCAAAAACTATTAAATCTCTTAATCCAAGATATAATCCATAGTCCTCAAATCAAAACCACGAGCCTTTCCCACATACAAAACACTTTGCTAAAGCTGTAATCATCCCTGTATGTATGATATAGTTGACAAATCCCCCTGTATTTTACCCATTCACCCAGCATTTCAACTTGTGAAAATTTATCTTACAGGGAAAACTCTTACATGTGAAACAGTATTTATATAAGTTTAATCATTGAGGTATATTCATAACAAATAATTAGGAGCAACCTAAATGCTCATCACTACTGGGAATGGATAAATAATAATTTATCCCATTGTGGATATATATGGAATAATAATTCCATCAAACAATGGAATACTAGTAGAATACTAAATTATATTCTATGAGGTCAGGGATTTTTATCTACATTAGTATTAGTATATAATGATTAGTGGATATTTGGTCCTAAAACATCCACTGAGACATTTAGTTCACACCAAAAGATCCTTGAAATATAGTACTGTCAAAAATGTCCATGAGCCCTGGCTGGTGTAGCTCAGTGGATTGAGTGTAGGCCTGCAAACCAAAGGATCGTGGCTCGATTCCCAGTCAGGGCTCATGCCAGGGTTACAGGCCAATTCCCAGCAAGGGATGCACAAGAGGCAACCATACATTAATATTTCTCTCCCTCTCTCCTTCTGTTCCCCTCTAAAGATAAATACATAAAATCTTAAAAAAAAAAAAAAAAAAGTCCATGAGCACATTAGGCCCATGCCAAATGGTCCTTGGTATTTGGTGCTGCCAAAAAAGTCCATGGGTTCAAACAGCCCATGTTTACTTTTACTTCTGATGTACAAGACTAATATATTAAAATACTATCATGCTTTCTTGGTCAAATAATTGTGTTGTGTCTGTATTGCCAACAATAACCCTGCATACATCTACAGCCTAGTAGGTAGTGGCACATGGGGTTAGGTAGATGGGCTGGCATGGACATCTCCATGGATGCTTTGGACAGGACCAAATGTCCTACAAGGTACATAATGCATAGGCAATGTTGGTTGAATGAATGAAAAGTTAACAACCAAAAAAGAAAGGTCCTCTATGTGCTAACACAGAATGATCACTGAGATAGTTACATGAAAATAACAAGGTACAAAGGAATGTATACTGTATACCGTTCTTTATGTGAAAAACAAGAAAATAATATTTGTAACCTTGTTTATAAACATATCACTGGAAAAATATATAACAGTGATTGTAGGATACAGTCATATTATTCCCTTTATGTCTTTAATTATGAATTACAATATTCTCCATTCACCACATATCCTTTGGTATTAACTACCTGAACCAAAAGAACTTGAGGTAGATGCCTTTCTATTTACAGTAATAATCCAGCCTTTTGTGTATATGCTCCTTACCTATTAATCACTTAGTAACCATCTTAGTAACATCTTAGTCAGCTGTACCAGTATAGCAGTGGTTGTGTTCAAGTGGCCCCTATTTTACGTACTAATGGCCCCAAAGTCGTTCCCATACTTTTATTACAGTATATTAATTATTGTTGTTAATCTCTTACAGTGCCTAATTTAGAAATTAAACTTTATCAAAGATATGTATGAGAAAAAACACTGTATGTATAGGGTTCCGATATTAACTACAATCATAAGAACCCACTGGGAGTCTTGGAATTTATCCCCCACTGATAAAGGGAGACAACTATACTGAAACTGCCAGACACCACAGAACATTTACGGAGGTATAAACTAGGAAAAGGTTGTGTGAAGTCACTTTGTGTGCTAATTTGAATTTTGTTCAGCAAGGACACACTCCCCACCCCTCCCATCATAAGAGCAACTAACATACTTCCCCTTACCATTGCTGTTGGGCATGGACACATGACTTGTCTCAATCAATGAATATGAGCAGAGGCTAGAAATAAGCCTGCCCACCTAGTCTTGCTTCTTGCACTTCTGACTCCAAAAGAATTACAGACATGTGGAACAGGCCTGAAAGCCAGTAGCCTGGGACCAAGCCCCGATGAGCCAGCCTACATCAGTCAAATCACAGCTGATCTGTAGACTTATGAGCAATAAACAAATGTCGATGTTGTATGTCAATTTTTTTTAATTTACCTTTTTGTGTTAAGTGCTGTAGTTATTAAACTAATGACATAATTTTATATTATGTATTTTGAAAACTTTTAGACATATATATATTATGCACAAACATTACCTAACTTATTCCTTGCAACAACCCTGTGAAATAGGTAACACATTTTTATCCATTTTATGGACAAAACAGGGTAAAAGGAATTGAATGACTTAATAAAGTGATACAGCTATAACGTGTGCTCTCCCAACACAAACCCACTCATTCCTTCATTCAATATTGAATGCATACCCATTCAGATAAGTGAAAGTAGACGTGGGATACTGCCTTTATAGAGGTTATAGTCTCACGGGTAAGAATGACAGTAGTCAAATCATGATTCCAAAAATGTTGATTATAAGCTGTGACAAGAGGTACAAAGGAAAGTTATTCAGGTCTTCTATCTCCAACTGGACTTGTTCCTTCTTCTATATAACCAAACATGAGTTTATAAAATGGCTTATTCTTCATCTCCCTTTGGCTGCTGCTAAACAGAGCTTATTTGAAAACAAAGTATAGAATGAGGAGAAAAAAGGCACAAATCAAGATTACTAAAACACTTTTTTCACATATCAAAAGATCCTGTGTCTTTAGCATAGTACATTACTCTGAAACAACTTAAAAATGTTATCTTTTAGTTTCTTTCAACTTTAAACTAGGAGATGCTACATGAATTTGTCCTTATACATCCTCCTCTCCTAATAAAAGGCTGATCAACAGACAATGAAAGAGTAAAACAACTTTCCCAACCATCATGCTCCTGATTTTAGTAAAATCTGTCACCTTTTATCCTCCTAGTCTCTTTTTTAAAAAGATTTTATTTATTTATTTTTAGAGAGAGGGGAAGGGAGGGAAAATGAGAGGGAGAGAAACATCAATGTGTGGTTGTCTCTCGTGCATCTACTACTGGGGCCCGGGCCCACAACCCAAGCATGTGCCCTAGACTGGGAATTGAACCAGCACTCAATCCACTGAGTCACACCAGCAAGAGTTATCCTCCTAGTCTTATAATCAAAATCATTTCCCAAAATAACTTAAAAAAAAAAGTTAGACTTTTTAAGTTGGTCTTTAAGACTGAGAAGTCAATTTTCTGCTACATAATTAAATAGCATAGCTTTTAAAAATTATGTCATAGTCTTAAAAACCTTAAGGAAAAAGATGGTCTAGAGCAGCCATTTATTAAACTGGCAGGAACATATATAATAAGCCTGGCTTTCAGAATTATAACAAATCTGTAGAAAGAAGAATTTTTTAAATTATATATGCTCAAATAACAAGATACCAATAAAGTTATCAAAACTACAAGAACTATAAACTGAAAATTCAGGGACTAGATAATCCAAGGCAAGTTATTAGAGAATCATATAAATCTGTGTTTAATGGGAAGTGGAAGCTGATTTACATTAGCTTACTTTAAGATTTTACATATTTATTTTTAGAGAAGGGAAGGGAGAGAGAAAGGGAGGGGGAGAAACATCAATGTGTGGTTTCCTCTTGCACGCCCCCAACTGGGGATCTGGCCTGAAACCCAGGCATGTGCCCTGACTGGGAATCAAACCAGCAATCCCTTGGTTCACAAGCCAGCACTCAATCCACTGAGCCACACCAGAGAGGGTTACATTAGCTTATTTTGAAAGGTGCTTCCTTACAAAGATGCCTAAAAGAAAACAGATTAGATTTCCATATTTAAGAATCTGGCAAGGCATCACTTTGTTATTTGTGATTTTCATTGTAATGGAACTTACTTCTAACAATGCACAAGAGTTATTTATTTCCTTGACCATTCACAAAAGGAAAGTAAGATTACAAAGGACAACACTGAAGGAGATAAGGAGATAAATACATTACTACTATGCCAGTCTATACCTTCTTCTGATCAACTTTAATATTCTTAATTCGACTTTACATGCTTTTTCAAAATAGTACATCTGATATTGCTGATGATTGGTTTCCTTACAATTTTTCTGTTTCCACTGTCACATTCCACCCTGGGTTTCCTTCCTATCCTGCCCATTCCTTCTCAGGCTGCACTTTTCTTCACTCCAATTTAAAAAGTATTCACCAGCACTTTGTTCTGTCTAGGCTCTCTGCTACCTTTCAATCTATACACCTCTTTATATGTCTATGTTCATACTCAGTTTTAAATCCATGTATTCCAGACTTACATACACAAATCTAACCAATGAGCATATCAAACCTCACACGATATCCTTAAAATGTCAAAAATCTCTTCTCTCCAGTTCCAGTATTATTTCCTTGCTTCAGGTTCTAATCATTTCTCTCTCTGACACAGAAATGGATGACCTCTTCACTAGCCTTACCACTAACAAGCTGGACCCTACTACTAAAGTGAAGTTTCTAAAACTGAAGTGTGACCACACTACTCCTCTGCCAAAAACTGAATTAGTATCTATGGCTTTCGGGAAAAAGTTTTGGTTTACACAGTAAATTCCTGCCAGTATCTCTAAGCTCTATCTCCGCTACACTCATCCTTTGGTTTCAGCCAAACCTCGTAGACCAGATAGGATACAGTCATTCACTGTAATCCCTGCTTGCCTCTGCATATGCTATGAACCTAATCCAACAAACTCTGAATTCCAATCCTGACCTAAACTATTACTTCATCAAGGAAATCTCACCTATAGTCAAAGGCTGATTTAGATACCTACTCTCAATGCTCACATAAAATTTTATATCTAAATCTCTTTCATATTAACCACATTCATATATAGGTCTTCTCCATTAGACTATTAACAGTCTCTAGTGATAAAGCACTTTGTTATTCCATGTAGCTGACATACAGAAAATATTCAACAATTGCAGTTTGAAGGAATGAATGGGGATTAAATGAGAATTTATATGTTGGTGGAGTTATTCTAACAAAAATGAACTTGGCTCCTTTGACTACAATAGTAGTGGGCAAATGCTTTGCTGTCATTAAAATGGTAATGAAAACTTTATTTTTCTGCTGATTGGTGTGGTTCAGTGGTTTGGGAGTCTGCCTACAAACCAAAGGGTTGTCAGTCTGATTGCGGGTCAGGGTATGTGAGGCAACCAATCGATATTTCTCTCACACATGGATATTTCTCTCGCTCTTTCTTTCTCCTTTACCTCAGTCTAAAAATAAATAAAATCTTTTTTTAAAAAAGCAACTTTATTTTCTAACAGACCCATTGTGCCAGTGACCCAAAGCATTATCACCTCATCTCTCACTACCCATCAATCAAAAACTGACTTTGTAGCCAAATATAAATTTGTTCAAAGGCACAGGTTTGTCCTTTGTGACAAGAGCAAATGACATTGTAAACTTAGATTACTTAAAACAGAATTCTATTCCCCCCCCACACACTCTTCCAGTCAATGAGGCCCTGTTCCACTATTTCTATCCCTTCCAAATAAAACTTCATCCTCCCCCTGCTTTCTTTAATTCCTGGTTCAGCCAGAACCCACAGCAACTGTGTGTGTTGGAGGTTTGAGGGAGGGGGCAAAAGACAGGAGATGGAGGAGGGTGTTAGAGAAGTGTTCGTTCCTCTTAACAAAATCTGCTTTGTATTTCATTTCATTTCATTATCTAGTCTTATCAAACCAAGCCCAATGAGTTGATCTGAGAAAGGGCCTCAAAAATCATCTCCACTCTCTTTTCCATAATCTTAAAGTCAAGACAAATTAATCTGATTTTAAATGATCCATGAGGGAAACAGACTTGAGCAAAATGCTTGGAATTTTGAGGGGAACTAGAGATTACAATGAGTTCTATAGGGTCAATGACCCAGAGGGTAACTGCAATGATTCTGTCCAGAAAAATTTACTTCCCCTCACTTGGCCCTTCATTCATTCCTTCCTTCCACCCACTACTAGCACAAGCACAGGAGAGGCATCAATTTATGACCATGAATACTGACAGATTAAATGCTAAAAAACACACATTGTACCCTAGACATTTCAAAATATTTTTCTAACAATCAGCATTTGTTGCTCCAAATAATAAAGTAATTTCACACTGTCACTTATCTCCCTTAAGCAACAAAAACAAAGGCATAACTTCTATCATGAAACGCCACATACTCTTGGCTCACATCACCACAGAATAGAAGTAAGGTAGGCAGTAGAGTTAAGATTGAAGATCACAGTGAGAACAGTGGGTATCAAGAAACAATAGAAATAAAATTTCTGATTAACCCAAAATTCAACCCATTCTTTACAAAACTACAGAACCCCTGCTTCAAAAAAATAAGGGAGGGAAAAAAATAAGGGGGGGATGTATTTAAAAACTTGTTTGATTCTTCTTAGCTACTTTCAAGCACACAGAACTTTTAAGCTTGAGTGTATTCTTCTAAAATAAAGATTTCCAGACCTAACCTGCCAGAAATTATTTTGTAAGTATGGAATGAAGCCTGGGAACTGATATGTTTACTTAAAAAGTTGCCCAGAGGCTCTGATCAGCAGCCAGGGTTGTCAGAAGTGCCTTTTCAAGAAGGGCTCCTTCCAACCCTTACTGACATTCCAGCAGTCTATGAAATTATCGAAGCTCTCCCTATAAAAAATATGCCAAATCAAACACCATGACGCCTCACCTAATTAACCCCTGTGTTCTCCCTCACCCGCGGGGTTACTGCCTTATTTTCAGTTCATTCCCTCTAACAGCAGTCTTCCTTTCTTATCTCCACCCTTGTAATAACCAAGAAATAAGCAAAAGGGTAAAACAAAGGGAAACTATCACGTCAATACCCGGAAATCCCGTCACTTCCAACATATGAGAGAAAACCCCCTCTAGATCAATCTAACATGTACTAAATTTAAACGAAACAAAACACTTTCAAAGGAGGTCTGGGGAGCAGGGTTGGAAGGCAAGTAAGCGCTCTTAGATTTGGAAAGGATGGACGAAGACACTAAGGGAGGAGAAGGTACAACTTTAACGCCGGGCAGCTCGGAGCAGGGCGAGCGGCCCGCGCCGGCACCTCCCCGAAGGGCTTTGACACTCGACACCCAGCCTTCACTCGGGTTGCTAGGAAACAAAAAGGCTCCACGTTCCCTGCCATTCCTCCCCGCCCGGGAGGAGAGGCGACGGGCCTCGGGGCCTGAAGGCGCCACGGAGAAGGGGCTGGGCAATGCCCGGGGGGCGCAAAAACCAGGTAGAGCCGGATACCTGGAGCTCGGGCTGGGGGGCCGGGCGCCTGGAGAGGGCCCGGAGCTCCGAGGGAGGGCGAACCGGCCTCTCACGTTTCGGAATTGGGCCCTCCGCGCGGAGCGGCGCTCGGGTAGGCCACGGCGAGCTCCGCTGCTGTCAGGACGCCGCCGAGGGGCAGGGGCCGGGGCCGGGGCCGGATGCTGGGCCTAAAAGACTACCGGGCACCGCACAGAAGAGGGGGCGTCTACTCACACGTGCTGACAGGCAGCGGTCCGCACCGGCGTTTTGAGCACCTCCTGACAAACGGGGCAGTAGAAATCATCTTCGGTGTAGGAAGTGGCCGCGGAGAGGTCCTCGGCCATGGCGAGGGTGGTGAATCAAGGCGTCAGTAGCGGCCGAGGTGACAGAGGCGGCCCGGCCCGACTCCTTGCGTGAACCCTGAGGAGGGGACGTGTGAAGAGGTGGCTCGCGCCAGGAAGGGGGCGGGGAGGGGCGGGGCGAGGGCGGGGCGGGGCCTGCCGCTGAGATACTACTGCCGCGAGCGAGCTCCAGGCCTCTGCTCCCGCCCCGGCGGGACCCGGAAGCGGTGCCTGGCGGGAGGCTGTGATGGAAAAACAGCCATTGGTTTCTCTTTCACTTCTACCCTGAGCTGAAGGAACAAGAAGCCGCACCCCTCTTTTGGGAGGGGCGTCCGCGGCCAGTCCGGTACTGGTACTCTGGCACTCGGCCTCGGCTCCACCCCTAGCCTCTACTTCGCTGCCGGCCTCCTTTCCCCGCGCTTTGAGGCTCCTTTTCCTCGCCCCCAGTCTCTATCCCGCAGGGCGGGTCTCCCCGCTGTAACCCACCTTTTCCCCGCTGCTCCGCGCCCCGCCCCTCCTCTCTCGTAGACACTCACCTGGAAGCTCCGCAGTGGCGTGGCTGCTGGAGTTCTCTCCCCACACGTGTGAAAGATGTGGCCCTGCGCCGGCCCTGCGCCGGCTTCCTTGCCGAGGCCGGGAGGGGAGTGGCGGGCAATACGCGCCGTGCTCATCGACCCCAAACGGGGCCGGGCCCGATGTTCAGGGTGCACCGGAATCCCACCGCCCCCTCCAGCAGCTCTCCGATGGCATCGCGCTGCCCGTAGACTGCCGGGCAGGTCACCGAACCCGAGGGGACGATGAGTGCTGGAGGAGGAATGGGAAGAGGGCAAGCTCCATAGCAACAGCGCGCGGCGCCTTCAGCAGGTTGTGACGTAAACAGCTGGGTGCCCACCTGTATCGCCCCCACCCCACCTCCATACAGCAGGAACCTCATTTCTCTCACAACTATCGATTATATTGGGTTTCTCAGGAATTTTTAATCAGAAAATGCCACCCCTAATGTTAAAGATTTGAGAGATTTGGCCCTTACTACTTGTCTTTGTCATAATGTTCTGATGCAATGTTGATATTATGAAGCAATAATATCAACTGGGGGGTCTTAATCCCGGGCAGGGGTGGAGGGGCGGCGGGCGGAAATCTCCCTTGAGGTTTCCTTTTTGCTTTTAATGTGACTGATCACAGTTGCAGATGCAGTTTTACACCCATACCTTTGTTTTGTTTCGGATTTTGAATGCTTTGAAGAAAAAAGTAGAAGCATGGATCAAGACATTTCACCAACGTTATTCACTGAATATTATTTTTCATTTTTGATTTTAGAAAGAGTAAAGGAGGAAGGAAGAGAGAGAGAAATGTAGATGTGAGAGAGAATGATTGGTTGCCTTCCCCCACCGTGAATCGGACCTGTGCCCTGTACCAGAATCAAATTGGCCGAGAGGACGCACAACCGAGCCACAGCAGCCAAGGCTGTTTTTATTTTTTAATGAGACCTTAATTTGTTCATATATCCCCATAATTGATAAATCTCTAAAATGGAATCACAATCACAACCATGAAAAGAGTAAGGAGAATCTGGAACATCATAAAGCATCTTCAGTTAACTTTGAGAGGTGGGGTAAAGAGAGATTTCATTAACATGCTGTGTTAACACTCTCCACCATGGTCTAATTAAATCATGAATAGAAGCCATTGAAGGGAGCAGTTAATTCAATTCTGTTATTTATTGTCTAACATTGTCCTTGACACTATGGTAGATGCTTTGCAGATCTTAGGAACTTTGCTCCAAGCTAGTTTACACTCTTGAATGTCTATGAAAATAAAAGGTCAAAAATATAGTATTTGCAAAAGCATTAAATTTTTCATTAACAGTTCTGTACTGAGGGTAGGAAGCACAATGATTGGATTTGTGTGGCTTAGAGAAAACTTAGTGGAGATGGGTCTTAATATGCATCTTAAAATTCCTGTAATAATACTGAATTCCCTCTAACAAACTACATATTGTATTTTTGTTCTTCCTCCTCCCTAACAAAAAGAGTGGAATTGAAGAAGGATAGTTAATTTTAGCTTCAGATTTCCTGGGAGGAGGAAAATAACCAGATAGGAGGGACAGCTAATAGCAGTAGTCCAGGTGCTTCTCAAATTCACGTATAGAATGATTCTTGGAGTTCCAATTTCACTGTATTGATAATATACTTCCAATCATTTCACTCATTTAGGAAGTACAGTTTCTACCTGATAAGAGTGTTTCCCTTTACTCCTGGGGAATCCTTAGCCAGAATATTCCTTTTGTAGCTTTATTTGCTTTATTCCTTTAGTGTAATGGCAACCTTACTAATGCCCTAATTGAAACATGTTTGTGTTGCTTTCTCATATATTCTAAGAAGTCATTTGGCATACATGTAAGCATAACCATCAAAAATGTGGATATCAGGAAAATTTGGTTACCTTCTAAGAATTAAGCTTAGAAAAATAAACTGTAATTGCCAGACAACACAATCTTCTGTCTTGGCAGCAATTCATATGAAAAACTACTTGACATTTTTATGGCAGTATGACAGAAGTACTCAAAATACATTCGGCCATGTAAGTAAAATGTCCTCAGCCTCTGGATAGCAGGAGAAAACCCCTAAGGTTAGACCAATATGATCAACTTAGTTGCAACAATTTACATAGTTCCTTTAAGTTTAGGTTAAACACTGAATCACTTAATAATCCATCTCTCTCAGTCTGCTTCCATCCAAATGACATTCTGGGGGATAGGAGGGAAGACTAGAAGTAGCTAACATAAACTTGAGACACTACTGGAGAATCTGGGTCCTGAGACCTCCAGGGTCTCCTTTGAATTCTTGATAGACTTTTCTGTAGTGGGGCTAATTTTGGTTGTGACCTGAGGTACAATGAAACTTGGCTATCCTACAGGTATCTACTAATGAAGATGGCTCTGGTCCATCTCAGCTGACAAGGCTTTATGGTGTCCCTGGTTGATTTAGCCTCACCAACACTAGAACCCTCTGAATGTTGATGGCAATCCTCTAGCTCCTTGACCCTTAACATGGCAAGTGCCTTAGTAGGGCCTTATACTCTCAACACAGCACTGTCCATGGCATCCTTTCCAGTCCTTCTGCCACTCTGGGAGAGAAATTTATTCTCCCAAACATCCTATGTCCCTAGATTTCCTTGAATTATTGACCCTTATGTTGGTTCTGAACAGCCTGTAAGGCCACATGCTTCCAGCTCCCTATCCCTCAGTACTGCCCTCAACCTAACTAACAGAATTTCCTGCCACTCTGTCTCTTTTTCAACCACATTCCCACATTCGTTCCAAATGGAAAGAATGGACTACTGATAGGTCCCACCTACACTATCTAATCAAATCCACTAGGCCAGGTAGTTAGCATTCTAAAGGGATAAGTGACTGAATTTAGAAAGTTAGTTTCTTCTTTGACAAAGCCTGGCTTTGTCTCACTATAGAGCATGCAAAGCCTGTTTTTCTGGTAAAAGTGGTTGCCTTGAAGAAGTGAACTGGGGAGCTGAGGAATGGAACAGGATGGAGACTCATGTTTCACTGGTTACCAGTTACCATTTGGTATCTCTTCAAACTGGTACCATGTGCAGTGTCAACATTCAGCTGGTTTGCACAAGTATGGCGCTGCTAGCCTTGTCTTTTCTGATTTGATTGGCCAGTAGTCTGTCCTGAATGGCCAGTTATTAATTTGATTCCAGTTGTTAAATATTTTAAACATTATGACCACGTACATAAACCTATGCACTGAAGGCCAGTCATTTAATTATTCAAGCATGTGTTAGAAATGTTCTTTAAAAAAAAAAAAAAGAGCAACATTCTTTTCATTTCTGTTGAATCAATCCTAATTTCTTTTCCCCCACCCAACACAAAACAGAGGGATGCCTCAGGCCAAGTAGTAAGGAAGTCAAGGGAATAAGAATGTAAAAGGGAAACTCTAACAGGTACCATGTTCCTATGAACAAGCATTCATAAACCCCTCTTCCATCCCCCACTCTAACAAATGATCATTGTTCAGGTATCTTCTCTCTTTCTCTCAGCTATGTGCCTTAGGAGGCTACATTCATTCCCAGCCCAAGGGGTGAAACCATAATTGAATTGGGCCAATCTGGATGGGCCATTTCCATTTCTTGCCAGTGATTTAGGCATGGCCATGTATTAACTCAGTTATGACTAAGGAGTTTGTGAGGGGAATTCTTCTCAGGGGCTTCAGCAAGTACTTCGCTGAAGGCCAAACCAGGCAAATAGGAATAAACAATTCCATGCTATGTCCGGATGTTTTCCTATCTGTGCTGCCTGAAACTGCAACCATCATGAAACCATGCACACAGTGTGTCAATGTACTGAAGATGGCAGAGCTGAAAGATGGAAAGAATGTCCGTTCTTGATGTAGTTGAGCCCTTCTAGTTTAAGCAATTCTCAGTTGGCTCTTCTGTCATTTGTACCTCAAAGGGTCTAAGCTGGACGGTTGCTTCTTGACTCTCAGATTCATTTCCCCAATAGTCGCCTGTTCTACTGTATTGCTGGAGCTCACCCTTACAAACTGTTTCTCATTTTTCCTTGCTAACTGACTTTTTGCTATATTCAGTGAATGGGAGGCACTGATGAGAGAGACTGGAAGGAAGAAATCAAGGTATTTCTCCCTTTGATATTGTGATTTATAATAAGAAATATATATTGAGCCTTTGTCCTCATTTCTGGCACAGAGCTCCTAAAACCTTTGGAATTTCCTAAGTGCGGAAAGTGGTAAGGGTGCCTTTTGTTATGTTAATGAGGTGAATTTTGGAAAGCCCCTAGGTGGCTGGAGGCTGCGCACTGATCACCAGAAGAAACAACCACCTGATTAAAGGGTTGGAATTTTAAGTCCCACACTCAGACCTTCAGAGAAGAGAGGAGCTGGAGATTAAGTTCAATTAAAATGACCAGTGCTGTAACCCATGATGCCTTTGTAATGAAGCCTCCACAAAAACTTAAAAGCACAGGCATCTTAGAGCTTCCAGGTTGGAGATGGAAGAGATACTAGACTAGTCAGAGCAAGGAAGCTCTGCACCCTTGTCCCCATACATTGCCCTGCTCATCTGTTTATCTTGCTATTCCTGAGTAATATCCTTTTGTAGTAAACTGGTAATCTACTGGTAATTTTCTACTGGAAACCAGTGAGTAAACTGGTTTCCTGAGTTTTTTTGTAAGCCACCCTAGCAAACAAATCAAACCTAAGGAGGGCGTAGTGGGAACTTATGATCCATAGCCAATCAGTCAGAAGCTCAGGTGACAACCTGAACTCCCAATTAGCATCTGTAGGGAGTGGGGGGCAGTTTTGCAGGGCTGTCCCCTAAATCTGTGGGATCTGACACTATCTTGGAATTGAGTTGAATTATAGGATACTTAGCTGGTATTGGAGAATTGCTTGGTATGTGGGATGCACCTCTCCACCCACACGATGGAATTGAGTGACAGAATTTTACCTTCTCTGTGCTTCTGTCAGTGGCTTCATTTCTTTCATGGTTTCAGCTTCTGGGAGTCTGCCCTTTCCTCTATGATCCCAGGTCCTCTGGGTGGTCCCTGTCTTCTCAGTTGCTTCTGTGTTTGCCCTTGGTCTTTGGTCTTTCAGCAATTGTAATTAGCTTTTTATATTAAATGTCCTCTTTTTTTTTTTAAAGGTTTTATTTATTTATCTTTAGAGGGGAAGGGAAGGAGAGAGGGAGAGAAATATCAATGTACGGTTGCCTCTCGTGCATCCCCTGCTGGGAACTGGCCTGCAGGGGACCGGCCTGCAACACAGGCATGTGCCCTGACTGGAAATCGATCCGCGATTGTCTGGTTCGCAGGCCTGTGCTCAATCCACTGAGCTACACCAGCCAGGGCTTAAATGTCCTCTTTTGAATTACCTACTGTGAGTTCTACTTTTCTGATTGGAGCCTGACCCATTTTCCTAACTGAGTCAACACGTTAGGAGAGGGGAAGGCAATGGAGAAACACTTCGAAAGTATTTCTTTTTCCAAAAGAGAAAGAACTGAGTTACTTTCCATTACAGGTTTAAATTTCCTCTTCACAACTCAGCAAATTAGCACAAATGGAAACCTAAAAGTGAAATTAAGTATAGAAAGTAAAGGAATTTATCCTTTTTTAGTGTACCTCAGTTTGGGACAGTTAAAATTCAACTTTATGAATATATATTTTATGCCATTGACATTTAATTTCATGTCAACTGTATTTTTATGTACTATTATAGAGCTGTCATTTTAAATAATATTCCTGTTAGTGACCTAGTGGCCCTGTGCAATCTAGTGTCTATGTTACAATTGATTAGAATAGAAATGTATATAGTACAAATTTATCCCAGTCACAGTCTCCCAAGAATATAGAATTCAGATCCCTACTTTCTTGTCAATCTCCATTATATGCCTCAGCTTGGAAGTTGTGTTAACACAGGCCGTGGGGCAGCTGTTTTCTCCCATGGCCAAGCAGAGACAGTCAATCAGTAGAGAGAGAATAAGCTAACCATGAAACAGACATTGTGACTGCAGCTAAAGTTGTTTCACTGAATAAGGTATGCAGCTGCCGGGGCAGGCAGAGCCACAGACTGACCAGAAATGGCAACAAATTTCAGCAAATCAGCTTATGATCCAACTTTTCTTTGATTTTTTTTATTAATCTTTAAGAGAAAGAAATTTGAAAATAAAATATCCCTTGCCTCTACCCTCACCCCTCTTTTTCTCTCCATGTTTCTCCCTCTTTCCTCGTTAGTTTTTTCTTTTTTCCTTTACATATTTATCGATATCTTCTGGTCATTGTTCTATCCTGGGCTCAT